TCATGGGGGCGTGCCCCTGACGGATACTGGCGCCCTGATTCTTTATCTCTTTGCTTCTTTGGCCTTGAGGTGGGCAGCCTCGCTCTACCATTGCTCCCTGTCGTGATCTTCTGTCTTGCCAAAAGTTCAAAAGGAGGAAGCCAAAAGGCCACAGGCTGAGCCTTTGAAACCAGGAGCCAAAATAAATCTCTCCTTATAAATCTCACACATTTTGCCACAGCAACAAGAGACTAATATGCTGCTTTCTGAGGTTCTCTTTCATAAGATGGGGTAGGAGCGGGCAGTTTGGATCAGTTATTTTTTCAAAATGTCCTTGAGAGCATGGTTAGAAAATGTATTTATGTCATGACCTAGTTCATCACTTACCCTTACTATAGGCAAAGCAATAGATATCTCCTTTTAGAATCCTCTGTTCTCATTCATTCTGTCTAACAGGAAGAATGTGGTCTGGACCCATTAAACTGATGTCCTGACTCACCAAAGGCACTTAAGTGGGAAAACTGGAGGTGGTCTCGGAGTGACCTTGGACAAGATTTCTGTGTGTCTTCTGTCTAGAGTCATGAATGGGTTCCAGGGGTTGGGTGGGGTCTCATTCTCCAAATTACTGATTTGCTCACAACCACTTCTTTCTATGAACATGTTTCACAAGGAATTTTCCCTCTTTATTTCTTAGAGTAAAAAAACCCAAACCTTTAAAACCTCACATGCTCATGTGAGTGCTCCCTGCTTACCATCACTGTGACTGGCTCAGTGTCAAGGAGTGGGCAGGTTTGTGAGTGAACTGGACCTCTTAATTCTTCACCTTGCCTCAGTCTGTGCCTGAGTCTCACTGGCCTTGCAATGTCCCAGCTTGGTGGACCTCCCAGAGCATCGTGACAGGGCATCCCAGCATCCAGCTCACAGGCAATCACTCGTGGTGCCTCCTGGTGGTGCGTGTGTGTGTGTGTGTGTGTGTGTGTGTGTGTGTGTGTGTGTATACACCCTGACTTACATAAATCACTGAGTGTTGACTGTAATTCTGATGGTTACCATGGGTAACAGAAAAGGAAGTAGATTAATTTTTTTAAGGAAAAAAAGAAAAATTCCTTTGGTTCCTCTTTTAGAAAAGTACAACCCCCTACTCAGCTTCTTCCTGACAGGCAGTGGGAGCAGAGGAAAAGGCCTGAAGATTCAGTCAGAAACCATGATGCTGAATGAGTCAGGAGGGATGGAGGGAGCAAGTGCCAGTGCCCAGCCCCTTCCTTCCTGTAAGCTAGGGTCTGAAAACATCAGCCCAGTCAGCTGGAAACTCACACTCCAGTTCCTGAAGACCATTAGGGGACCATTAGGGGCCAAATCACAACAGGGCTGAAGCCTCCACAGCCCTTGTTCCTTTCACCAGGTGACTGATTGATGCCATGTGCATTAAAGGAGGGAGGGTGTATCCTGAGAAGGACAGAGCACAGACAGAGATCCAGACCAACCCAGCTGATGAACCTGGACTGACTACATCCTTCATAAAGGGCTCTTCACATTCACATTTTTAGTTTCTTTCTAGGATGTTCCGGGACTAGGTCTTATTGCAGGAAGTTGACCTTTTACCCAGATCTGGTGATGCCAGCTGCATAAGGCCAGGTGCCCTGGTTCTAGTCAGAAAGGAGCATCAATGGACAGGGTCTTGGTGTGGCTTTAACCTGATCCATGGTTGTTATTTAGGTACATGAAGAATCCTACCTGGCATTTCCACAAGAATGAGTTTAGAATAATCTGGACTCTGAAGCAGAGCTATCTGCTGTCACCATTCCCAGAAATTGTGTTTTATAGATCAGCTGCCAGGCTGACCTAACGAACTAATTAACTTTCCTTCCTCAGACTAGACCAAAATTAGAAAACACAGATGTCACAGTCAGGTATGTTTGCTGACAAGATTTCTCAGAATAGGATAAAGCAACCTCTGCATGCTGACCTCTTCCTTTCCACAGTGGATGGAGGCAAGGAAACCTTCCCTCAAGGCGTCATGAAATAGTGTTCTCAGCATGATTGGCAGTGTCACCTAGACGCACCTGGATGCAAGGCACCCATTTTGATTCAGGATTATTAAGAAGAAAACAAATCCTCAATTCTCCAAGAGTCAGTCACAGTTGTCTAAATTGGATTTAGCTGCTGAGTTATCCAGACTTTCTGTCAGGAAACTGTCTCAGCTGAATTTCCTGTAGGCTCTCAAGAAAAAGAAGGAACTCATTTTCAAGAGATAACACCCCAGAGCATTTAACTATTTTGACATTCCTGGAATTTGAAATATTTAAAGAATTTTTTCCCTCCAGTTTTGTTTCTGGTAGAGATTTGTGCTAGATAGATTTAAGTGTTAACTGGACACACCTGGGGAGAGGGACAGTCAAATGGGGAATTTACTCTATCAGACTGACCTGTGGGGATGTCTGTGAGGCATTTTCTTAATTGTTGAGTGATGTGGGGGGGCCCAGGACACTATGGGTGGTGCCACCTGTGCAGGTGGTCCTGGGTTGTATAATAAAGCAGGCTGAGCACAGACAGGAGGCAGAGGCAGGTGGATCTCTGTGAAAGATTGCGGTTAGC